TCATGGTTGTAGGTTTTTGAGGATACTTGGAAGACTGTTTATGTTGTGGATTAGGACTTCTAGTGTTGTTCCTAGCTTTTCTGTAATGAAGTTTATAATCCTTGGTTTTAGTCCTAGGTGGTTTTACAACTTTTACATTTACTTCTTAAAAATATCATTTAGTTGCACAGTTTAGGTATTTTTATTTTGACTAAAAAATTATTATTGTCTACTATAAGCTATTTGATAAGAACAGTGACTATTTCTCATTGCTGTTTTTACTTTCTCCAGTATTATAAATGTGGCACCCAATTTGCAATGGTAACCCTTGGAACACTTGGTGCTTACACAGCATTCACAGTTGCGATCACTCGGTGGAGGTAAGGTGTTACTCAGAGGATAGTCAAAGTTCAGGAATTAATTATGCTTTCATGAGAGTCATATCATGGGTACACAAATTTTTGTCTTTCAGAACTAAATTTAGAATTGAAATGAACAAAGCGGATAATGATGCAGGAAACGCTGCCATAGACTCATTACTAAATTATGAAACTGTGAAGGTAATACGCTTCATGATCTTATCCTCTTCCCTTCAAATTGTGCTTAGATTTGTGTTGCTATTTAATTTACTAGTGACTGCATGTCTGATGGCCTAGTGGTAAGGAAGGAACTGTGCTGCCAAACCAAATACACAGTTTGAATCTGCCAGCTTCTCTGCTTGAGAAAGAGGAACATTCTCCTCCCATATGATTCATATCCTCTTAAAACCCACTGGAGGGTCAGCTATGGGCTAACCAATTCTTTGGCACATAGTAACAAGAACATATTTTAAAGGAGCATAATATTTTAAGCATTAGGATGCTAACCAAAAGGTTGGCAGTCAAACTTACTGATTTAGCTGCTTTGACAGTTTAAGATCAAAGACTGTGACCCTATTAAGATGGACTACCTTAGTAACTTTATTTGACAGTTCCTATGAGGTCATTTTGTGTCCTGTTTGGTTGCTATGTGTTAGTTTCAACTCAATACTCAGTTGTAGTGGGCTTTACAAGGTAGAACTTTTGAACTTCAAGTAGCTTAGAGTCTAATTATAAAGAAATAATTCTTTTTTGATAGAAAAATTCTTTAGTCAAAACAAGTTTGCACTTATTGCTTAAGTAGAACAAATCTTCCCAAATAAAAATAGATAACGACCAGTTTATATATATAATATAGTAGAGCTCCATCAAAAACTAGTTCCATTATAAGATCTTTCCAATGCAAAAGTACAGTTATTGAAGATTCAGACTTTTCATCTATAGATAAAAACGATTCTGCATGAGATTAAAATATACAGTGTTTTCCATTCACTATTTTTCAAGCCACAGGCCTAAATTTAGAACTCTTACTAATCCATTTTCCCATATTCTTAGTTTCAAAACATGAGAAGTGTCGTAGCTACCTACTGAGTACTTTGTGTATTCATATCAAGGTGAACCAATATTAATACAAAATTTAAGGGTTTATTACAAAAGGAAAACATTCTATTTTTAATATTAGCTTAGGTGGTGCAGTTCAGTAGAAATAAATTAATTTTTACATGACAAGAGAATGATTCTTTTTGCTTCAGATTGAACACTAAAGCTAATCAAACTGGCATATATGGTCTTGTGTGCCCTTATTTCTTGAGTGCCTTCCGTAGTGCTTTTCATTCATTCATTGGTTTGTTCATTTTTCCATTAAAGAATTACCACATTTTCACATATACACAAAATATTTAACTCATAAATACATATAACGAACATAGGAAACTAATGACGGACAAGGTTGTTTTATTTGCAAAAATTACATATGTTGTGTTCTGTTTGCATGAAAATACTGTAGTTATGGGATGCCTTACACACAAAGCAGTATAATAGGGAGGAAGTAGAAGTAAAAAACTAAAGATGATTATCATATACTCCTTGCTGTTCAAAATTTTTTCTCTTTTAAGGAAGTTAATACAATAAGACATAATGTGGTAGATATAATTAGAAGTAACAATTCAGAATTTTAGGAAATCAGGGAAACTTTTGTGGACCTTTTTTCCAAATGACGGGTCTAAATTACGCTTTCAATAAAAATTTATTGGATGAGTTTTATAGGTTTTTGAAACACAGTCTATTATGAAAAACTTCTGAAGTCTAATTTATTGAAAGTCATTTTCAGTAAATGCATTATCCAGTACAAATATTCGTACTAGAAATATGATATAAAGTATATGAATCAGTTAAAGAAGATAAATTTTAATTATATTCATACCTAACTTACTAATTTTGTATATTCTGTAGTATTTTAATAATGAAAAATATGAAGCTCAGAGATATGATGGATTTTTGAAGACCTATGAAACTGCTTCATTGAAAAGTACCTCTACTCTGGCTATGCTGAACTTTGGTCAAAGTGCGATTTTCAGTGTTGGTTTAACAGCTATAATGGTGCTCGCCAGTCAGGGAATTGTGGCAGGTAATGGATTCCAGATTATCACATTTAATAGAATGTTTTACTTAAACTTTATAAGATTGATGAGAGGAATTAGTATATTAATTTTTTAAGGTTTGTAATAATTATTATTTTTAAAAAATTTTAATTTCTATTGATTTGTTTACAACGTTCATATACATTGTGTTTGACACTACTCTTAATTCACATTTTGTTTCACACAATCATTCCCATTCATTATGTTTTATAAAATTATGCACTATTGTCAAGTCCCCACTGCATCTTTCCTGTTTCCTGTACCCCTTTCCTCCATTTACCAAATACTGCAACCCTGTTATTTCACTCCTACCCATTCTCAAGCCTCTGCTCCCACCCCTTTCACTCTTGGATCCCCATACATATTTTACTAGTTATCCTTCTATTTTTATAACAATGATCTTATGCAAATATATCAGCCTTAATTGTAAAGTGTATTAAGAACCTTAATATCCTTGGAGTACTTTATTTTGTATCAGAATATTTTCTTAATTTATTGATAATGATTTCTAAGATCTTTTATAATTTTACTGTTTATACATTTTATGGGACTACAACTTGATTCTTTCGTGGTAACATTTTCCAGCCTTAAATATTTCTACGTTTTCTTATAGAGATGTAAAACAGTGTAATCAAGTCAGTGTTTAGTTCAGAGGAGAAAAATGCAAGGAATCATTTTGAACTTTGAGAAACAATAGTTACAGAAAGGCTTCAGGGTTTTTTTTCATAGGGTTGCTATGAGTCATGCTCAACTCGATGGCAATCAACAACAACAGTACTACTGGTAGTCTTTTCATTTTTCTGTTAGCTTCTCATGTACAGAGAACATTTATAAAACAAGCGTCTATTCCGTCAACTCAAGTAGGATTCTTTTAATTCTATTTGATTTCAATACTTTGTCATTCTGAGTCATGATATCCATTCCTTCCTATTTAAATATAAACGTTTTAAGAATTTTTGTTTTATATTATACAAAAATTGCTCGTAGTTTCTTAGGAAAACATGTTGTTATTATGTGCCGTCGAGTCGTTTGCGACCCATAGCGACCCTATTTACAAAAGTCCTAAACCCTTCTCTATCCTGTGCCAATCGCACTGCCTCTGAAACACCCATCCCGATTACCCCAGTCACAGAATCAGTCCACCTCATAGAGGGCATTCCCCTACTGTGCTGTCCC